ACATGTTTTAACGTCAGTGCAGAAATGCTAATCTTTCTGGAACTGCGTGAAGCCGTCGCTCTAGCGCCAAAATTAAAAGCAAAGCTTTAAAACGCTGCGTTAGACGTCTGCATGGATCAGCTTTCATAAACGGTTCGCCTTGTAATCTGTAGCTTGTTTTGTAACGTTCATACAGAGTCTCTTCAGGCTTTGGGGGAATTTTATTGCGAGGGCTCTGTTTATATTTTTCTAGTGCCACTGTTGCTTTTTTAATATTGCTTCATATATTAAACATTTACCGTTGTTTAAACTGCTGCTGCTTTTTTTTTTTTGCTATTTAAATACTAGGGACATTCTTGGGAGTCTTTGAGATAACCAGATACCCTGTATCGCACAGTTGGAATACCCACACTACATATAAATTAGAGGCACTGCTTGACAGCTGAAGGCTTAAACACCTCTCAACCTTCAGGGAAAAGCCCTGTGTCTCCCCTCAATAATCAGTAAAGTATTTGGCTTTAAAAAAAAAATGTAGCTTGCATCACACTGTTAACGTTGCCAAGAACAGGTTTAAGGGCAGTAGTAAGCAGGTTGAATTTGTTCTCTGTCACATTCCAGTAATTCAGGCTCAGAGAACAATTAAAAAGTTATTGTGGAATTTAAAAAACTGCTGAGAGTGACATTTTTATGGCAGAACTGTGGGCATGAGTGCGCACAGGCAGCCTGATTTGGTTCTCAGGTGCGTTTTTGCAAACAGGTAAAGGAGAGTGAGAATGGACTTGAAATTAAAACAGAACTGAAAAGGAGGATATATAAAAGCAAGAAAGAAGAAGAAGCATCAGGAACGTGTAAGAAAAGATGTTTCTCTGAAAGTTATATCTGTAGGGGTTCTGTATATCTAACAAGGATCAGACATTGTGGCAAGAGCAGTTGAGATCGTTAAACTGGAAGTGAGAAAGGTGTAAAATCTGGGCTGTCTTGTCTAATTTGGGCTGCTGGCCTCTGGAATCTCCTGTAAACCCTAAACCTACTAGTACAAAGAACAGATCAGCTGTAATGTTGAATAGGTATGGCCATTCTAGAAGATATGAAGAATCATTTAAATGGAGAATTTACTTGTAAACTGTGTGCTGGTTTGTACAAATTGTCATGGTGAAAAAAATAGCCTTAATTTTTGTGTTTGTAATGAGCAAAACAATGTGTATAGACGCAAGGGCTGGTAGCAACACCATTGCATTTCTTGGTTTTGTGAAATGAGAAGAAATCCTGAAAGTAGCAGAATGGTACCTAAAGTGAGTTTTGCTCAAGTTAATCCTAAGACTGAAAACTCTGGTTCACAGGGACAAGAAAAGCTTGTGCAAACTTTGCCAGAACCGTTGGGTAACTTGAGAGAAGTTCTTCTAGGAACGTGATGGGTGTTTATTCTCTGTGTTTGTTGAAGTTTTTTGAATTCATTCGTTGGTGCCTGATGGTGGGGTCGAGGGCAGCTTTAGTGAGTTTTATTGTGAAACAGATGTCACTAAGCTGGATTTCTCTAATAACTGTTATCAAGAGGACATGAGGTAGCAACTTTCTGACCTGGAAACAAACTTGAACTTTTGGACTCTGTAATTGCTTGTGGTATTAGTAGGTGGAACCAGGAGTTAAATTTCACTCTTTGCTGAGATATCTCAGCAAAATAAACCAGCCTTTGTAAACTTTAATGTTTAAATGGTTTGGAAGCTACTGAAAGTTTCCCATTTCCTTTTGTGTTTTGCCTTATATATTACAGAGTGTGCTCTTTGGCTTGGTCTGCTTTTTGCAGATCTCCCCCCCCTCCCCCCTTCTAGTTCTCTGAATTTCACATCACTCAATTCTATCGGTATTCAGTCTGTAGATTCCAGGCTGTTTCTCACTACCTTGCAGTTGTTATGTGTCTATTTTTTAAAAATAGAAGTGTTAAGGTATAGTCTAAAGCTTATTAGAAGGGTGCCCATTGAATTCTGACTGGATTCATTCCAGCTGTCTGCTTGGTTTGCAGTAGTTTTGCTATGTAGAGTCACAGTTTCTTATCTTATGCAAGGGATCAAGTTGAAAATTCTTTGAAGAAAATATCTCTTTAAAATTGAACGACGTTCTTTAATGCTGAAGTGCTTTAACCTTCTTTAGTAATAATTGCATGCATTAATCTATCTGAACGATTATTGGTCAGAAAAGGTAATTCTTTCATTACTTTTGGGATTTGATTATTATGATTATAGAATAATCAAACCTTCTTAGTAGATTGTTTCTAGTGTGTATGAATCCCAGTTCATCTATTTACATAATCTTTACAATTGTTCTAATTTACATGGTACTGTAAGAGGATTTTAAAATTTGTATGTAAAAGCGACTGAAAAAAAGAAAGCGATACTTGAACATTTTTCAAATTCACCTGGAGGTTTTTGAAATTGTTACCCCTAATATTTAAGTGATGGAGTGACAATGCATTCAGGTAAAACAGCAGCTCTCCCCGTGTCACTGTTTGAGATCTATGGAAGTATTGCAAAGCTTGCACAGAATTTAATAGACTTCTTTGCTGATAATATATACCTGACCTTAAGAAGTTGTAAAACACATCAGTGCATTTCTTTTGAATGCTGCTTTTCTTATTTTGTTATAATTAATCTTCCTTTTACCCCTTCCATCCCCAGGGTCAATTAAGTGAGAGCATGGACCATGGAGGAGTTGGCCAATATGACCTGTAAGTTGCCGCTCGAAAATGTTCTGTATCATTCATGCCAACTACGTATAACTTCTCTTTTTGTTACTTTGTTAAGTTAAGTAGATCTTGTCATTCTTGTTCAATTTTTAGTTGTTTCCAGTCGTTTCACTGTTTCTTCACATCAAAATTTGTGACTTGTATCTTGGAATAAAATAATAATAAAAAACAATTCTGGCGAAACTTGCTGTTTGTCTTTTAATCCTTGATTCTCCTGACGTACCTCTTGTAATTTAGTAATATTTGTAGTATTATTGCCCTGTTCACAGAACGACGTTGTGTGTTCTGTTAGTTTAATCAAGGCTCAAGCTGCAGATTTATGTAGCATTGTGAAGCAGATGAGAATTCAGAATTTCTGATCTGAAGTCCACGCTACATTTAGCATCACTTCCTTTATAGATCTCCAGACTCGTTTCAGCGGACCATGTTCTGAGAAGAACACAGTGATAGTTAAAGCAGTTCAGTTACGTTTCCTTTAGCAGGATCAATCTCTTAGTCATTTGCAGAACCGTGGCTTAGTTTAGTAGCATCAGTAAATTATGGATCAGTCTTTTGTGGCATGCTCTGAGGCTAATTTAGTTACAGCTTTTCCTGCAAGAAGTCTTATTGTGACTGTTGGGGCTGCTGAATGTGATCTGAAACTTAACCACACCTTGTAGGGGTCTTACAAGAGTAGCTAAGTCAATTTGATGCTTTGGTCTTTTAGACTGAATTCTGGTGTAATACGGAGATTTGTTATGCATTAAAATGAAGGAATTTGTAGGAAAACTCGATACTCTAAATCTCAAAAATTTGTGGGTGATCTTTTCTGTGCAAGTTGCAATTTACCGCTTTGCACACAACTAAATAAAGTCTCTGATGCTGAGAATTCTCCAAATCTTCAAAGCAGTCACTCAGTTGTGTCAGGTTTACTGTATGTTTTTCAGAAAGTAATTTACTTGCTTACTTTCACTTGACTGTTTTCAAGTATCAGGTAGTCTTATATTCTTGTTTCGGTTTTATCCAGTGGCATGGAACATTGTGAAAAATTTGAGATTTCAGAGACTAGTGTAAACAGAGGCCCAGAAAAGATCCGACCAGAGTGCTTTGAGTTACTCCGCGTACTTGGCAAAGGTGGCTATGGAAAGGTAAGGAGCTCTTTTCTACAGAAGTAAATCCATTACGCTGAAGGTGCTTAAAGTGCTTGTTACTTTTGGCACGGTCTAATCTTCACGTGCTGTTTCACGAAAAGCTCACCCTACCAGTGGGTGACCTCAGGGCTGCCAAGGTTGGTTTGGTGGGGCCGAGGTCAGTGGCAGAGCCTCTCCAGCCTCACCGGCTGGTGGCAGCGAAAAATGTCCCAGATGGGTTCTGGCTCAAATCACTAGCTCTTCTCCTTCAGGCAGCGTCGCAGTTTGTAGGCGATCTCATCTCGCCTTTGCAGAGCTTTTGTTTTTTAACTTGGAGTGGCTAATGTGGTCATAATATGTGATTACTTTTGTCTTGGCGTTGTATAGGTATTTCAAGTACGAAAAGTAACCGGAGCAAACACCGGGAAAATATTTGCCATGAAAGTTCTTAAAAAGGTAACTTAATTGTTCCCATTTCACTGCTATCTGGATTTCAAAAAAACTGTCCCTCCACTTAGCTTTTACGATATCTAGTTAATATGCCTAAAAATAAACTTTTATCATATATACAGTTATTATCCAGGTACATTTAGAATTAGAATTAACCTGTAAATTGTTCTGTCTGTATAGTTCTTAGCAACTAGGGTTCTTGTGCTCATGTATCTTTGATTTTTGTAGGCAATGATTGTAAGGAATGCAAAGGATACAGCTCATACGAAAGCAGAGCGGAATATCCTGGAGGAAGTGAAACATCCCTTCATCGTAGATTTAATTTATGCCTTTCAGACCGGTGGAAAACTCTACCTCATCCTTGAGTATCTCAGTGGTCAGTAAATGCAGTTCTTACCTCCCTCTTGGTATCTTATGTAATCTAGAATTTGACTTTCTTACTCTACTTATAAAAAGCCAGCTAACTAGTGGCACGGTGTCTTAAAGATGTAAAACAGGTTAGTACTGCAAATGCGTAGAATAACATAAATAAACCTTCTAATTCAAAACGGTAAAGATGATTGAAACGTAAGCTAGTTATTTTTCATGACAGTAGAGGAGAGGAGGGGCTTTAATCTTGAGTACCTTTTCTTCCATCAGGCTGGTAATTCCTGTGTTATGCTTAGATTCTGTGCAGTCATACGGAATATCGGAGATCTTAGTCCTTGCAGGTTCTTTGTGAAACAAGGAAGTGTTATCTTTAGTTCACAGATAGGGAAACCGGCACAGATTAGAAGCAGTGTGTTCAAGTTTATAACAATAGAAGAAACAAGGACTGAAAATGCTGGGGTGGTTTTTTTTCAGCATGCTCTTTTGCTGTCTTATAGCATTTCTTTAGGTTGCTAGAATTCTGAGAATAATGGAATAGTAAGTCCTCAGTTGTTTTTTGTGAAGCAACTTTTTGTAGAGCAGGGCAGAGTACATGTTGTGTATAGTTTTTCTAGAGAATAGACTTCTAACTGCCTAAAAATGATGCTTTAATAAAGTATAATCTCATGACAGGAGGAGAACTATTTATGCAGTTAGAGAGAGAAGGGATATTTATGGAAGACACAGCTTGGTAAGTGAAACTATTTCGGTAAATTAATAGTTTGGGAGGTTTTTTTTCTAGAGCTTAAACTGTATACTCTGACATGAACAACTATATATAACTACTCATCAATTTCCTATCTAGTGAAAAGAGCAGTTAATTGGGTTTTGGGAAGATGTACGTGTTCTGTACTTACCAGTTTGTGCTAGTGTGACTCCAGTCTTAAGACAGAAGAGGGTCTGTTGCTGGTTGCTGAGCGAGGGTCTGTTCCGTAGGGTTGTGGTAAAGGAGGTATTGGGTGTTGGAGAAAAGACCGTGAAAGACTTGCTGTAAATGCAGCTTTTTTTTTTTTTTGTACTTGATCCATGCACAATTTTACCAGCCAGTTACAGAACTTCCAGGTCACTGTAATGGCTGTATCTAAGGATCAGCTGTGTGAAGTGATAAGTGTAATTATGCTAATGAAGGAGATATTTTACATATAAACAAGTTGAAATTATCCCTTATTGATTAGGGTTCACACAACTGCATACAGTTGTATCTTCCCACAGCTGCATGCTGACAATGCCTCAGAAAAGCTCTGACGTCCTTGCGAGCTGTAACGCTGCTCCGTGGGTAGCACACTGGGTGCTCCCCCTTCCCTCCGTACCTTGTTTTTCTTCTTCACCTTTGCCATCTAGGTGTGGTAATACAGATTGAAGCGTATTTTAACCACTGACTGGTAAATTCAGATTTCCTCCAAATACATTCATGGTAACGTAGCTACTGAACAGGTAAACCTAATGCAGGTGATGTGATTTTGTAGTTCATCTGGGAGTCTGCGTGCCTTTTGGCAAATGAACCTCAAAGGCATCTTTGTTTCGGTCGTTTATTCTCTCATATGCTTCTAATGATACTTTGAGGGAACTGTTGCTATGTACATAATAGTCTTAGTGCTTAAGATGCTTTGCATGATTGAATATGTCTAATTTTGTGGCGTATGTTTCCTTTCAGCTTTTACTTGGCAGAAATCTCAATGGCACTGGGGCACTTGCATCAAAAAGGAATCATCTACCGTGATCTGAAGCCAGAAAATATCATGCTTAATCATCAAGGTAGAATTCTAGTAATAGTTATGTTGACAGTCATTCGAAAACAGTTCTTCAAAGGTCACAACATTTCACTCCTGCACGAATTTCCTTTGAGCAATGGCATGTTCATTATCACTCTTGGTATAACTGAAGAATTGCCAGAGTTAATTGCTTGCCTTTAAACACAACTTCTTGTGCTTGAAAAGGCCACAGCAAGCTCCAAGTTCCATGAACGATCGATTTGCTATTTCTGCAGCTCCAAAATTTTTCTTCTACGGATCGTTGTAAAGAACACAAAGATCTGTGCCTTCAGTGTAGCATCGGTGACATTTTAGTAATGGGGCTGACTGAAGATGGTAGGAAAGGCGATTTAGGTTGGATGACAAATCGTCTGGACCTGCAGTGCCTTACCTGGCTGTTGACACTTTACCTGACAGTAGCAGCAGTTCCCGAGCGCACTGTTACGTTGACAGTATGACACCCGTCAGTCCGGCAAGCTGTACCATCCAGTATTTTCATGTCATCCTAACTCATTTTCGTAGTCTAAATCTTTGTGTTGAATTATTCAGGGCACTTTACAATTTACTGTAACTTTTGAAGCAAGCAGTAAAAAGCAGTAGCCTACTTTCTCATGTGAACGATGCTCTATGATCTTGATGTTTAAGTACATTTGTCTGTTTGTGAATAAGCTTTGGCAGTTTGTCTTGTTTCTTTTCACCAAGTGGCAACGCTTCTTACGTGGGTATAACGCAGGGGTTTTATCTGTAAGCATAATTATCTCATTCTGTTTTGTAGCTGTGTTGCTTGGTCAGACCATTGAAGATATCTGTTACTATGTACCCGTGCTAAAAATTCCTATTTTTTAATGTTATTGGTACAAATGTCAGAATTCTGCTAAGTCTTTAAATTTTATGTATTTAATTTCAGGTCACGTAAAACTGACCGACTTCGGATTATGTAAAGAATCTATTCACGATGGAACAGTCACACACACATTCTGTGGAACAATTGAATACATGTGAGCTGCATGATGAAATAGAAAAGTATTACTCTGGTCCGGGGGTAATGACTAAATTTTGCCTTTAAACTGATGGTTCATATGTTCAGTCACTTAAGGAAATTTTACTTGATAAATGTGGTTTTGTTTGAAAACTAGTTCTCAGAATTAGTATTGAGCTTGTTTGAATATGTTCATATTTTCAATTTTTCTGATTGTAGGGCCCCTGAAATCTTGATGAGGAGTGGGCATAATCGTGCTGTCGACTGGTGGAGTTTGGGGGCATTAATGTATGACATGCTGACTGGAGCAGTAGGTGCACAGTTACAATTGCATGTATTACTCTTTGTAGCTTTAGTTACTTGTATTCTAACTCAGATGCATGTATAAATACGTATATATTTGTATATATACAAACTGCAAGTAAGAAATATAACTAAAATGACTACAGTCATGAGCTGCTCTCATCCAAGCAGTTATTCGGAAGAAGGCCCTTTTGCAGTGATTTTATCAGCTTTATAAATTACTGAAGTGAGTTCTGTGTACACGAGTAAGAGACCTGAACAAGTCCTATTTTTCCTCCCATGACAATGGTGCTTTCTAGCCTCCTTTCACTGGGGAGAACAGAAAGAAAACAATTGACAAGATTCTCAAGTGTAAACTCAACTTGCCTCCCTACCTCACACAAGAAGCCAGAGATCTGCTTAAAAAGGTAGAATTTTAATGAATGTCAGTACTACACGTGTATGTAGAAAATAGAAATATAATGGTACGACTGTGGCTATTCAGTCCGTGCTTGGTTTGCTACGTATTGATTTTGCATGGTACAGAAAGTGATTTTCCTTGAAAATTTCTACTTTTCTAATGAATGCAGGTTTTCTGATTGTTCTGTGTTCATTCTGCACAGTATTCGTTCAAATGATGATTCATGTCAGAACAAGTCTAGTCATAACGGCGTAACTAATTATGCTTTTTTGTTATTTCTCATTAAGCTGCTAAAAAGAAATGCTGCCTCACGCCTAGGAGCTGGTCCTGGAGATGCTGGAGAAGTTCAGGTAACTTTCGATTAACTCAAGACTTCTTAAATTACCTAATGAAAAATAAACCAGCTTTGAGGGTGCATCAGGGAAGGAGAGTGTGTGCTTTAAAGCTTCATGAAAGCAGTAGCCTGCCTATTTCATAATTTGAAATATGGAAAATAACTTGTATTCTTCAGCTCTGCTTTCCAGTAGATCTTTTCTGCTGGTTGCACAATGCTAATTGTACAGTCAGCCCTGTAGGAGTGACGATATTCCAGCAACCTGACGAAAAACCTGCCGACCCTTGCATTTAGTGCAGCTCTCTGAAAGGAAAGTTGTTGTTAGGACGCATTCAGTGTTGCATAGTTAAAAGTTAAGACAGAGGTCTAGTTCCACTTGCTTCCAGCTTGACTTTTTTTGTGGTGAGATTAATAATGTACAAGAGAGTCCTCCTTATTTCACAGTTCTAATAGTTAGTCATTAATACAGTGTTTTACAGTCATTATTTTTAGATAACTAACTTTTAAAGTTTAAAAATGTAGAGGTATTTTGCATGTAAACTGGCTTTATCTCATACTTTAAAGGAAGACATAATAGGGACATATGTTGCCTCACATATGGAGGTATAGGATCCATTTTCATCTTTTTGAGCTGCCCTGATGTAGTGCTGCAGAATATATGACACTAGACCCATATGTGATTTCCGAAAGAAAAAGACCACAGAGAGAGTTTGAAAAGAACATGCTTAATTCTTAAATTTCTGTGATTTACACCCAGAAGGTGGATTCTGACTCTGTGCTATTGCTAACTGTTGTAGGCTCACCCGTTCTTCAGACACATTAACTGGGATGAGCTGTTGGCACGAAAGGTGGAACCTCCTTTTAAACCCTTATTGGTACGTACTCAGAATGCTGTGAGCTACGCATTGTATGCCTTGAAATGTGAAATCTAAAACTTAGAAACATTCACTCTTGCGAACTGGAGTGCCATTGATCTCTGGTGCTTTAAATAGTTAGGTTACTGGTCCTCAGACTCACTCTTGTTAAATTAAAGATGGCAGATCTACCAGCTGATTTACCACAGCTACTGTCTGATGCAGATTTTTTTATTTTCCCAAGAACTTGTGCTGTATCAGCAATTAAAAAAAATAAACTTTGAGTCTCCACACCGTATGAAATACTGGCTGTCAGGAGCGACTTGTTCTGTGTTATTACTCTGCGGTTACGGTACTCATCCATCACTGGAATAGGATCTTACTTTTTTTAATATGAGAAGGTAGCAAAAATCAGTTAAGAGCTAATTTATCAATGTGTTGAGTCTCCTGGAGGAAGAAGGTTCTGCTTCAGTTTTAATTCCTCCTGCTTCTAATCTCTAGGTTAAACAGAGTTGCAAGTGCACTTACCTGAATTTCTGCTTCTAAACATGGTACAGTAAGTCAGTACTTAGCTGAAACTAAGATGATAAATAGTTGCTCAGCAGAAGTACATCAAGTCACCTAATGAAGCATTTTGTATGTTTGCTTATTAGTATTTACAACGCATCTTGTGCATCATAGGCAGTAATTAAAGTTTGCCTCAAACCAGTGATGTGATGAATAAGCCTGTATTATCCTATCTTACATTTTGATGGGGTGGGGTGTCTGTCATTTTTTCCCCCTGGGTACAGTTAGCTACAGCAGCAGTGGATATTGTCACCCCGATAGTTCCCACTTAATAAAATTCTCGCTTTAAACTGACTTAGGCATCCCTAATGTTGAGTGTACCACAGCATGGGGACTCCAGACCTTTTCTTTTTTTCCCCTCATCATGTTCAATGAAATCCAGAATGATGACCTATCCCTCACAATATAAACAGTTCTGTATCTGCAAAAATGGAATTAAATTATCGGGAGAGGCTTCCAAAAACTAGTGGTTGCAACTGTTCTATACTGGTTGTGACGTGGGCTAAACTTGCGAGAAACTGGCGTTGTGTTTCTAGAAGTTTTTGTTTGTAATTTGAGATTTTTTTTCTAAAGGCATCTTTTTAATTTGTGTTCCTTTTTGATCCATGATTTTTGCCCCTCCCCCTTGCCTTTATTTCTCAGTGTCAGTGCCCATAGTGACCTCCCACTGGCAGCGACAGGATTCCGACACCACTCCAGGGTTTTACTACAGCAGAGCTCTGCCAAAAACCTATGGAATGAACTCCATCCAGAGGCTACACTGATCACCGCTAAGCCATTTGGTTGATATCTGTAATATAAACCCTTAATCATTTTGTTTTTGCAAAGCAATCTGAAGAGGATGTGAGCCAGTTTGATTCAAAGTTTACACGTCAGACACCAGTTGATAGCCCAGATGACTCTACTCTCAGTGAAAGTGCCAACCAGGTCTTTCTGGTAAGTGAGCCAGGGCCGCGGGCGTAAGGACTGTGCAGAGGGATGTGGTGTTACTTGGGAACAGCAGGGCATTTCAGGTAAATTAATCCTAACACCCGACACTTGAAGCAAACTCATAATTTTAAACCACACATTCTGCGACAGGTTTGAAATGTTTAAGGGCTTCTTAGTTGGATTATTGCTGATGTTCTCTTTATATAGATCACCCAGCCAATGAATGTTGCTTACTGTCAGCATTCTAATTCGTAGCTGCATTATGAACCCCGGACATGTGATTGCTTTCATAGTCATGCAGAGAGAACAGTGTCTGTTCTGTAGATGAAAGTTAATTAAATTGAGTGTGTCTGTGGGAATCTGACCCGAGTGAAATACCTGGGGTGTGCAGGCACCCTGCTGAGGAACTCCCCAAAGTCCTGCTGTTTGCTTCAGGAAGTGAGTAGAAGTTCATATGTCTACATTCAGTCGTCTTTTTATAGTTTTCACTGACTTTCCTGCTAATGGTACCTGCATGAATGATGATAAATGTAAATCTTGCCTGTAAAAGTTATGGTGCATTCATTCCTGTTTTGCAGGGTTTTACGTATGTGGCTCCATCTGTACTTGAAAGCGTAAAAGAGAAATTTTCTTTTGAACCAAAAATTCGATCACCTCGCAGATTCATAGGTAGCCCTAGGACACCAGTCAGGTATCTTCTTTTTTTTTTCTTTTTTTTTTTAACCTTTTTTCTTTTTTAATAGACTTTTTGACAAGTAGTTGAAATAGATCTGTCCTAGAAATAAAAAAATGTGGCCGTTCTTCTCAGTAAGCCAATCAGTTCCTTTAGAAGTGCAGCATTGATCCTATTTTACCAGCCACACAATTAAGAGACAGATCTGTGGGGTTTGGCAGCACAAGAAGTCCCGATTTGCTTGCTATTCCGTGCTGATGCAGCCTCTCGGTGTGGTGACTTCAATACACCATTCCTCTCAAAGTGTTTCAGAACATCCTAAGTACTTACGTGCCGCTAAAGTACCATGTTGGTACAGAAAATTCTTCCTGTAATCATCTAGAAACACAGCCTCACTACTCAAGTGGGAGAATTTCATACAGGAGCCCGTGGTAGAAGCCAGACATGGAAACTCTGTCCCACTGCTGGAAGTGGAAGGAAGAATTCCAAATGCTTCTCAGTAGGCATTTGAGTTCACCTTCCTGCAGAGCAAAGGACATACCTTGGTGCTGTTTGTATCTTCACCTCTGATTTTTGTATTTCTTGTTTTAAAGCCCTGTAAAGTTTTCCCCTGGGGAATTCTGGGGAAGAGGTGCTTCTGCCAGCGCATCAAATACTCAGACACCTGTGGAATATCCGATGGAGACCAGCGGAATAGAACAAATGGATGTGACAGTCTGTGGAGAGGCCTCGGCACCACTTCCAATCCGGCAACCAAACTCTGGGCCATATAAAAAACAAGCTTTTCCCATGATTTCCAAACGACCAGAGCACTTGCGCATGAATCTATGACAACACAATTTTTTAAGCCTTTGAAGGTGGAAAACAAAGAACGGACATAAGCCCCCTTGAAGTTGAAATACGAGGGCTTGTATGGTTTACTTTTAAAAAGTGACAGTATCAAAGAGTCAGTCATTGCACAGAGCGACTTGGAAAGCAAAGCAAAACGGATTTTTTTCTGTCAATCAATGGTGCATAAAAAACTTTAGCAAATGGTATTGCAGAACTCTAGGCACATCATCTAACTGATTCGCAGTGACATCTTCTCACCTTATCAAGGATTTTTCAGCCTGATAGCTTGAAAACTGACAGTATTAAGGGTCAGGATGTTGCTTCAGAATCACTGGTCTAGTCGTGAATGTGTCAAGGAGGGTTAGCCCTTTCACTAGGCAAAGTATGAAATGCCTACATGCTTGCGTCTGAGGCATAATTAGCATGCAAGCTTGGTTAAGCTGTTTCCTACAATGGGGTGGAATCAAAGATGAAAGATAAAATTGATTGGTATTTCACATTCAAAACATAATGAGTTTTTTATATATATAAAAATATATATTTTTCAAATAGATTTTTTGATTCAGCTCATTATGGAAAGTATCCCAAAATTAAACATGCAAAACAATTGGTTGCTATGAAGAAAGCAAAGGCTCTAGTTCCGATTCTTCTCCTCGCGAAACAACAAATCAATAAGCAAATCACTCGGTTACCAGCTTGGCAATGTGGGGTGGGAGAGAACTGTTTCCCTTGCTTACCCAGCTGAAATCCCTGTTCCTGCAAAGACGAATGGATCTAATCAAACGGCAGTGCTGCTATGTTCTAGGCTTAACTGGAAGCCACGGGCTCACACACACGTCCTGCTTATTTCATCCTTGTCCTCAGCAGACATTTCACTGGGAAACGTCACTTTTGTACACGCTAGTCCTTAGGTGGAGACAGCTGAACACATTCAGATTCTTACCCATAAAAAAGATCAGGACAAAGTGCATCGGAACACAAGGTCAGTAGAAACACAGGGAGTACCACAGGAGACATCCACAAGTTCTACAGAGTAGAAGCAAACAAACCTTTTTGTAATCAGTGGGTAAGAATTTTGAGAATTGGGGTTTTTTTAGTAAAATTTTGCTTATGGGAGTTCCCTGCCATTATACATTTCTAAATTTATCGACTTTTTTTTTTTTTCTATGCTGAGGCAATAAATTTGTTGATTGTATGAGAAAAGCGTTAAACGGCCTTTCAGTGAATGTCTTCCACAGTGGGTCAGAACTTTAGCAACTTAATTTAGGAAACATGTTCTAAGGACACTATTTATGCTTTGAAGTTGTCACAATCTGTACAAATGACTTACAGGTACAAAGAATAAAATAAAGGTAACTTTACCTTCCTTAAATAACTTCCTGCCTTAAAGAAAGCATTTCCATGAACATAGCTGGTGAAAGGGTTAATATCTGCAGAGCTTTACACTAGTTAGAGTGTGTATGGTGTGTGCGTGCGTGTGTAGATGATCATGCAACTGCATACAAGTCCTGTCACTTTTTGCCTGCCACACGTTGCATTATCTTTAGTCAAACTGTGCAAAGTCTACTTCTCGTGTTTCACAACAGTAGGGATTTTTTTATAGATTCCGCTTACTCTATGTGTATACTGAATCTTTTTGAGCCATAGGATCCAAGCCATAAAACTCTCTTAAGCATGTTGAATCCAATCGGTGCCGTTTTCTAAAATTTGCAAGTCGGGATTCAGCGATACTTTGTTGATACTAACAAAGAACCAACAAAAAAAAGGTGGTTACGACTGAGCAAAAATTAGTAATTTTTTTTTTCTTCCTGGTAAGCTTTTTGTTGGAAAAATTCTTCTTTTTAGTTTTATAAGGAAAATCAAGTTACCTTACAGTGACGTGAGTTGTACGGGAGGATTGCCATTTTTCATTTGGTAATTTGGCCACCACCGGCGCGTTGTTAAACTGAAATGGAAGTGCTCACATGTGTTTGTATAATGCAGATTTGCAAATACGCAGCCCTACAAGCAGTGTCTTTCTGCTGCTTGCTAACGCAGGTTTTCCAGCATGTTTACTGGGTATAAAGGAACTTGGTTAAAAAAGAAAAAATGTTTTCATTTTGAGTAGATCTCTCTTGGTTCTAGTTACAGCTAACAGTCGCTTTTTGGCTGGCTGGATAAAAATGTCCAGTAGAATTGGTTTAATATGGCTGGCAAGAATGGCAAGAGTTGTTTGTCTGAGTTCACTGATTAATTACAGATACAGTTCATCGGTTTTAAAAGTAAATTTCATGTACTGTCAATGCTTCATCCCATAGATTATAAGTTTAATTCCCTACCATAACTGTGAAACTTCTGGAGTGTGACTCAGACAGCAAGCACACACTATGCAATATGGTTTATCCTGTATTTATTTGTAAAAATATCAGACATAGATCCTCTATATATATATAATAGTGTCAAAATACTAGTTGTGAACTAAGGGGAGTGGAGTTCTAGCTCCTGTCTGGCTATTTCAGATAAGTGCAGAATGCATTGAATATTGGAGAGCTTAACAAGTGCTTTCTTTTGTTCATTTAAAAATGTCTTAAATTTTTCATTAGAGTATAGAATCTTATTTTTTTTATTTTGTACAAGCTGCGCTTTTTTAATTATAATCACTGAAAAGTTCACTATAATTTGATTTTATAGGATTTTTGTAGCATTACAAAAATATAGTAAATCTGAGGTTAATACCTGTTGTGGCTAACCATATAAAAGTATTAAATCTTAAACTTGAACAAAAGTCGTATTTTTTTTTACCAGATGTTAAATAGGGGAATATTTTGTTCTGCAGGTCATTATCACAAAAGGTTTATAGGTCAGCTGTGTTACCAGCAGTTTTTCTTTTCCCATTTGATGCAGAAACTATTCTGGTACAAGATATTTGGAATTTCATCATTTTCTCTGTGGGAGTGATGCATACATTCGATGCCATTCGTGTACTAAATTGTAATTTTGGGAATGCTGGAATAATTCCTACCAAGACTGTCTTAATTGTGCCATCTGACATTTGAATGTCATCCTGGTATTAGCTCATAATAAAAGATAAAAATAAATGAGTCAATTGTCCTTCTGAATATCCCTTTTTTTTGTTTTGCTGTATGTAAAAGCTGAACTGCTGGAGAACATTGAATATTTGAGTCCACTCTAACTACACAGTGGATGTTTACTTTGGATCTGTTCTCTTTTTAATATTAACTCCCAACCTGCTCTCACTGTTAATCAAAAAGTGCATCAAACGCTGAGGGAGACGACTTGTTCTTAGGACAGGTGCTTGGGTTTTGGTTGTTTTTTGAAAATTCTGTCTCTGCAGCAGGATAGTTGCTGTTTCATGTTCCCAATTTAGAGAGAAATCCTTTACCCTAAGGGGTAAATGAGGAGGAGAAGTTATTAAGAACAAGAGAAATTACTTAAATATTCTTCCTGCAGATCCTTGAGGACACACTGTGTGCAGTCCCTATAAATGAGCTTCTGCAGATTGTTCCCTTCTAGATTAACTTGGCTTTGTAGCCGTCTTCAAGAAACAAACTTGAGCTGCCTTAGTAGAAGTAAAGGTAATCCCTCTTCTGTTTTTCATCTTTCGCAGTTCACTAGAACTAAATATACTCCACTGCTGAATAAGATGGATGTGAGTAGCAATTAAATGCAAATTTCAACATATGCTAATCCAAGTGACCTCCTTTTAAATTTTTTTTTTTTAGGAAGTGGGTAGGCCCAAGTATAACTCTGTGGGTCTAAATCATTGTCGCTTGTGACAGGTTTGAAGGGAACGGGAGGGAGGGAGGAGGACTTCTGTGGAGAACTTAAAGGACCTGACAGATGCTGGTTCTGATCAGTCTGACCAAGAGCTGGAACCTTCACCGAGGTTCTTGGGCTCTTACAAAGTGGCTCTTGCTTGTCATTTGTCATCCTCTTCTCTGTTGTGTCTCCTGCAGAGTCAGCCGTGTGCTGGGTGTCTGTGTGTGGGGGAAGCAGGGCAGCTCCCCAGGCCGGAGGGGGCTCCAGGAGGAAGAGGGGCACCGGAACAGCCTGACGCTGGCGAGCCCATCAGAGCAGATGGCACTCAGGGATGTAAGTTGCCCACTGTTTTTCCCCCCCTCTCTGTAACTAAGATGAGAATGACTTTTTTCATTTAAGAAGTGTAAATCTGAAATGGTTGATCAAAATCTCTCTTCAGTTCTTTGGTTTTTAATAAAATGTGTTCGATAATATTAGTGGGTTTGGATAATTTTCACTGAATCTTCAAGGCTCTGCTTTCAGGCCAACTGTTTGTTACAAGCAGCTCAATCTGTGCCTTCCCAGATAATATTCCAGGAACGAACTAGTTGATTTAGATTTACTGTTCTAAGAAAGTTTTTTGGAGTCTCTCACAGAGTACCAGAATTGTGATGAATGGCTACCCCCCTTACTGGTAGGCAATTAAATTAATCAATATTCAAGTATTAGGAACTGTATTTCCTTTCTCTATCATTGTGTCCAAGTCTAATGAATTTTAGTTTATATTTTCTCTAAAAAGTAACTAAGATGTTGCTATTAGAATTTCAGGAAAAGCTAATCTGGGGTAAGTTACAATTTTTATTTTGCCCAGTATTTTAGATAGGGTTGGTTATTACATCTTTCTTTATGAACTGTATATTAAGCTTAGTCACATGTTTTAGTCACCCAAGCAAAGCTTTTACTAAAGGTGCTATTTGTTGACTAAATTAAATATGGCACTCCAGTTGTTTATACAGTACTCACACAATACCTGAATGAAGAAAAAAAACACCCTAGAACCGTCTTTAGCTAAACTGTATGTTCATGATCAGGTTTGGAAAAGCCTAAATACGATTGTGTAACCAAGTGAGCTGCCCAAGTCTCTGCGGGCCCATCAGAAATTCAGAGTCCAACCTTACGTTCCCCCTTGTGACTGATTCAGTTCTTGTCCATCTCTCAAGGGAAGTTCTGCTGCAGCAGCAGTCTGAATATCAGCACTGATGAAATTTAAACAACAAACAGTTCTAAACCTGTAGAAACGTCACATGCAGGCTAAGGTATAGCTAGATCTCTCTGAGGAACAAAGAGCGCTTTGTTCTGACTAGACGGGCTCTCCGGGCTTGTGCCCCTTGGAGCACAGCTTGGCCAAGCTCTAATTCTCCCCTGCGCCCTCAGGGCTGCTCTGACTCCACAGCTGCACATCCTCCAGATAAGTACCTCACTCCTGGGAAAGGCTTCCCTGAGAACCAGTCTCTTCTACTACCCTAAGTTCCTAGTTACAGATTTAGAAGCTCTTGCCTGTTTTTTTTTTTCTTTCCCCAGATACCACGACAGAACTATCACAGGGCATGTTTACTCCGAACTGCAGTCAGCTTCAAACAAAAAGCAAACAGGCCGCATGCTGCAGCAAAACTGAGACTGAGCATAGAAACGATACCTCATAGACTGAATCTTCCATTTCACTAGATTTCTATTCCAGATACTAAATTCTACTAGTTTTACACTTTTAGCTGTACCTTTAAGGGCCACTCTCCCATCCCTATAAATCTGCCTGTGTCAGCAGCAACTTCCAGTGCTCTGCCTGGCCCTTTCTGTTGCTACCTCATTCATCAAGTAAGTGATTAACTTTTAA